ACCCTGATGATGATGACGATGATGATGATGTTGTTATTGATGATGATGATGATGATGACGACGACGATGGCGATGATGATGATGAGTATAGTCACACGGAGTTTAATGAAATGTTCGTAGCCAGGCATGAACCCTATTCAGCGACACTTACGCAATTGATTGTGCTGCATAGGGCTAGCAGGAATGTTAAAAATGAAACTTTTTTGTTCCATAAATCTTTCATTTGTTTATTCATTCGTTCGTTCGTTCGTTCATTTATTCATTCATTCATTCATTCATTCATTCATTCATTCATTCGTTCGTTCGTTCGTTCGTTCGTTCGTTCGTTCGTTCGTTAGTTAGCTAGTTCGCTCGTTCGTTCTTTTGTTCGTTCATTCGTTCGTCCATGCATTCTTTCATTTTTTTCATTCATTCATCCAGGTCGTCACCTCTGGGTCCTCGCCATGGGTCAGTCACCGAGGGAGCACGTGGAACTGAGGCCAGAGGTCAAATTTATAGGAAATATACACGGAAATGAAGTGATTATTACTATTATTGTTATTCTTATTATTACTATTATTATTATTATTACTATTATTATTATTATTACTATTATTATTATTATTATTATTATTATTACTATTGTTATTGTTATTATTATTATTACTATTACTATTGTTATTATTACGTTGGCGTGCTATCCTGAGGTCAGTAGTCTGGATCGATAGATTGACTTCCGGTTGTTTACGCCATGCTATGGCTATGACGTCACGTTAAAACAAGTGACGTACTGACAACCATTGTGGACAATAATGATTACTACGATGATGATGATGACGACGATGATGATGATGATTATGATGATGACGACGACGATGATGATGAGGACGATGGTGGCGATGCATAACTCTGTCTTGCATGTAATCCGTATGGCTTAATAAGATTTATATTATGATGTTGATGTTGAAGAGTTTGAGATGATGATGGGGATGATGATGTTGATGATGATGGTGATGATGGTGATGATGGTGATGATGATAGTGATGATGATGGTGATGATGATGGTGATGATGATGGTGATGATGGTGAATACCTTGACTGTGAGGTTGATTGAGGATTGTGATTTTCATCCGTTTTCATTTAATGTTCTAAAAACAATTTCGTTCGTTTGACCATTCATTAATTTTATCATTCACTCATTAGCTCATTCATTCATTTATTTATTCATTCATTCGTGTGATTGTTCGTTCATTCATTTATTCCTTCATTCATTCGTTCGTTCGTTCGTTCGTTCGTTCGTTTGCACCTTTATCCATTCATTCCTTCGGCTTATTTTTTTTCTATTCAATTACTCATTTCTTGGCAACTACTCTTAAACTATTTAATTAAAATTTTGCTCAATCGTCTAGAGTAGATCGATTGATTGATTGGTTGACTGGTTGACTGGTTGATTGGTTGATT